TTGTCTTTAAAGGTTTATAAGTTATCATTAAAAATCAATTTCCCTATGAAAAAAAAAATAGTTTTTACTTCTGGAACCCGACTGTTGCACTCTATAGTAATAGGGATGCTTACATTAGCAAACACCACAAATTATTTCAATTAGTAACACATTTCTAATAATGCAATGTTGTGGACATTATTGTAAGATGCTCCCAAATGCCATCAATGGCCTCTACAGTCCTTCTAAAAATCAGCTTTATTCTCAACATTGCAACATGTCCCCTGCCCACCTTTTGTAACAAGCTCCGCCCATCGCCAGACCAACACTTGGCAGCATTGCCACTTGGCAGAGTCTCATCTCTGCCACCCATCGCTCCCCTCTCCCTATCCCTTTCCTCCTCCTCTGAAGCAATGGGCACCAACAATCTGTGGCATTGTGAGAATGAAGCGGCCGGTTTGTTCCAGCATCTGGTGTCCCCATTTTAGGGCAGCCGCTTCAGAACGTCCAAAAAAGTGCAGGGAGTTGAAGAGGAGAGAAAAGATTTGGAAGAGGTTTGCCTTTTGTCCTGTTAAGATGGTTCAGCAGACGTCCTGCTTTCTAAGGACCTTGTGTTGGCTCACAGCATCGAGAAATGTCAAGTTAACTGCACTGACAGCAATAAACATTTGTCACAAAGAGCTGATTCTCAATAGTCCTCCAGCATTATGCTTTTTTTTTTCAACCTGATGACTGAGTGATTGGAAATCTTTAAATCAGTGAATTATCCAAGGCAAGAATCAATATTATTGTTAGTTTATTGAGAAAAAAAAACAAAAAAAAAAAACAAGACTTTGACAATCCAACATCTTTTTATACGTTTTTGACAAACTTGGCTTTTCTTGAATAGATTTCTTTGAATTTTTAAATTTGTCATTGTAATTTTGCTTTCTTGCAGTCTAAATGTTTCATTCTGTTTGTTCCATCAATTCAAATTCAATTTAAATTCAGGATTTGACCTGGATCTTTAAAGGCCCTCTCAATTAAATTCTGAATGGTTCATAACTCTGCAAGCAACTGCATGGCAATGCACCGATGCACCGACTGCATGGAAATGTTCTGGCAACCACAACACCCTTGAAACTGCATAGCAAATGCTAAAAACACCTTAGCGACCACCAAGAATGCCTTAGTAACCACTTAGCAAGCCCTGGCAACCACCCCAAACTCTGTTGCATTGACGTTTTCGGGTGACTTTTACACGGGTAAGCACTGCTTGCAATTTCTCAATTTAAAAAATAAAAATCTTGTTTTCTTTAAAATATGCAACATTGCAATAAGGCCTGCAGAGATTGCTGACTATCACAAATAAAGTTTGCACTGTAACAAATGAAACAGCAAAACATGGAACCTCTCACACAGAGTTATGTTTCCATCCTGCATAGAAAAACCACAATGAGGTTTGACTTCTGCAAATCGGCAGCCCACTATAGTTTCCTATGTGCCGTATTCCTTTTACTTTCATAAAGGCCAATAAGAGCTCAGCCAACAGTCTCTGAGGTGCACATTGCCATGAATAGGCTATTAGTGTGGACAGGAAGGGGAAGCTTTAAACCATGGGGGGCCAACACATGGTTTCCACCCAAGTCTGAATGGGCTTGGATTGTAAATAATTGCATACAGTTTCCATATGAATGCCTGTCCCTCACAGGGCCTGCAAGCATGAGCAGATGATGAAAATGTTGTTCTTAAAGTTTAATCATAAACATTCACTTGCTTTGTGGCAATGCTAAACAGACAGGACCACCAGGCGTTATGATTTCATTCTCAGAGACTGTAAGTTGTTGTCTTGGTTGAATCACGCTTTACCCAGCAATACACCATGTCAGTCAACAGTCTGCAAACGAAGTTAAAAAAAAGAGAAAGAAGGGTTTGTAATGACATGAGGGTGAGTAGATGAGTTTTAATTTTTGGGTGAGCAATTCCTTGAAAATTAATCCTCAAAGGGCTCTATATCTTCATTTGGCCAGCTTGTTATTCTAATCTCCACTTAACATACAGTAGTGTGTTTTTTTTTCTTTTCTGGGAGCAATCCAGCAGTAACACGAGACACTCTTAATATGTTCAAAAACACCTGAAACGGAGAGATAATCACTCCTGGAACAGCTCTTCATTCTTTGTCTCACTACCCCTGTAACTAAAGAAATATTTATCCTCTGAGAAGTAATTAAGTGCCAGAGTACCTGGGAGGTTTTCTCTCTCTATCTCTCCATCTCTGACTCTCTCTCTCTCTCTCTCTCTTTGTTCCGCTCTCTCTTCCTTCTCTTTAATTTTCTGTTAAGTCTTCATTCATCCCCCTCACATCCCAGACAGGTGACAACCCAAGGCTGCCTGTGATCCAATTCTTCCCCTTCAGCCTTTTCAGGGAGGAGGAGCACACTCCATGCAGGCTCTGGGATTCCAGGGATGTTATTTACAAAGCCTTCCTCCTTTCCACGCACCAAATGTCATGTCTTCTCCTCCTTAGGAGCCCTCAGGCAGGCCTCCACTGCTAGGGCCGCTTTCTAAGGAGTCCTTTCTTCTGGGTCATAGTGTCCAGGTGACCACAGGATGTTGTTGAGAGGTTTTCCAGCCTGAGCACATGGGGCTGTCTCGCCACAGGGACTTCCTATTTTGGCTGCAGCTGCCCGTTAGCAGCAGCCACATCATGGAACTCCAGACCATGTGTGTCAATGAGGAGAAACACTGAACACTTACCACTTGTTGGCTGGATTAGCTGCAAGTCTATTGATTGTAGCATAGTGTAAAAACAACAGCAATCAAAGAGAGTCCTGTTAAAAGCCCAAAACTAATGCTGACATGCACCATTTGTCGGGGGAAAGAACCACACTTATGTACTTGAAATAATGTCTTGCCATTTGTGTAACTATATTTGCGCAGTAAACCTTTCCGTCTGACCCTACCTTCCATATTAATCAAGCTGGAATGCCAAGCGAAAGGAATTCTGTTTGGATTGGCCTCTCTCCAGAAATGTCCATGCTTCTGTTCCCGATGTGCAGATGATATTGTAAGCCGGGACTTATTTCTTAACAACCAGTGTTAATTGTAGTCTATCACTACCGAGATAATGCAACCATGCTTTTCAAAATAACCATGTTTGTTCTCTAAGATATTACATTTTCTTTCCCAAATTGAAACCCAGTCACAAAACATGATCATGGCTACTCACAAAGAGTCCTTTGTTGTGCGAAACCTTGCACCTGTGCTAATTTCGCAGACGATACCTTTGGCAGGAGAGGGTCCTTTTTTTCCCTTCTTCATGTATACCAGAGCTGGAGAAATCCAAGGCATGTTGGCCATCTTTCATACTATTTGCAAGTTTCTTTTTGCAGGGCCAACCCAATGGGAATACTCTGCACAGACATTATTAAGTGGATTCTGCACCAGTTGAGGTAAGGTTTAAGGGGTTTGGCCAGGTTTTAGGACACTTCGCGAGGAATGTTAACCAGGAAAGTCACGCTTCCTCACCTCACTTGCCATTCGTGGCCCCAGTGGTGGGTTTGCACCTGCCTCCGGTAACCTGACTCTTGAGCCCCTGGCCCCTTCATAGTTGTGTGACAGACTTGAGAGATCAATTTCCTCTAGTTGGAGGCATGAGTGCTGTTCTGACACAGCTTTGCCTCCAAGTCTGGGAGGCTGACAAGGTGAGCCTGGAGGGACAAAGGACATAGGGTACCTGGGGTCATATTTAGCACCTCTGATTGCAAATTATTATTAATGGTGCTTCCTTAAACTTATTTCAACAAACCCACTAGCCCCAAGGACTAAATTTGGGTGCGTAAATTGTCGTGCACCATATGAGCCATGGGGTATGAATGATACCTCAAATCGTGTGGCTTGTTGAGGATTTTTATTATGATTTGATAATGTGGTGCATAATAAAACAAGCGAAAAGTCTAACTTTTCTTTGAAGCAGGGACCCAAGGCGTATCTAGGATTAGAATATTACAGTGACCTGAAGGTGGGCTCTTTAGACTTGGACCAGTAAGGAACCACTAAGAGACCACCCAGAACAAACTGTGCACAAACCACTCTATAAAATGTAGTTATTATGTCTAAAGAAATTTACTGTTCAGTGCGTTAAACAATCCAACACAAGGCTGTGAAAGGATATTTCATGGGGACGTGGGAATAATAAAGTACTTTACACATTCCAACACGCCAATCCACTTTTCCCAGTGTCACAAACAAATCTTTCGCTTACTTGTCCTGTAAACTACAGCTTTTTCTGGCTTAGCTGGCTTACTACCAAACGAGTGGAAAGTGACAGAATTCAAATCCCAGAAGAAAAACAGAATAACATTAATTTTTTTAGAGGGGCCATGCTTCCAAGGATTGGGCGCAACCTCTCTCGGTCCCAGCCGACTTGCTCAACGTGGAAATCTGTTTGAGATTAGGTCTAAAAATAAATCAACGGAGGAATGTTTTCATGTGTGCAGATATTGGGACCAGCTTTCCCCGCAGACCATCTTGGCAGGATGGGTTGGACCTCCCTGGTGCCTGAGGACCCAGAGAAGCAGCCCCAAATCCTCTCGGAAATTGCTGGTTTGATATAATAACATCACAGGAAACCACTCGAAACGTCACTTTTTTTTTGTGCTGCATATGATTGTGTGCTCCATCACAAATTGCACCTCTGATGATTATAGAAATGACATTTTCAGGTTTATTTATTTATATAGTTCTATATGACACCTGTAAACAAATCTCTATTCTTGCATTGACTTTTGATCAACTGGTGTTTTTTTGTGATTGTTAATAAACACATTAAGACAGTTGTCCTAGCTGTGTAACCACAGGTATAGTTATCTCCTACTAACGTTTGACTACCCCAAAGTGTACAAATACTTTGTTAAATTTGAAATGATTAGCTTGAATGTGCTAGTGTTATTTTAAATATAAATGCTAATTATGCAGTGAAATGTAATTCAATAGTTTGACACTATCATGTGAAAAGACAATGCCATAAACTTAAACTTAAGCATGTGCAGTTTTAGTATGCGTGGGTTGTGTAAGTTTCCTGTAATGAGATGAGGTTTAGCAGATCTACACAACATCAACATTAAGGGGTTCTTATTACTTTGGTTGATTTGTAGAGCCATTGACATACAGTAAATATGCAATCATTTTCATTAAGACTAGATTTCTTCTAGAAGTGTGGAAATATTTGAGCATAAACTACTAAGGATATATCAGAGAACTTGATGCAGGTTAAATTGCAACAGGTCAGAAATGCAGGTAGGAACCTCATTTTGATAGTCACAACCATAAAAGCATTATTTTTTTTATTGTCATTTTAATGTCAATCGGTGACTACTCACTTTAGCAAAATGAGGAAATATGTCTTGCATTAAAATTTCAAATTCAATTAAATGAAAAAGAATTACCATTTCTTCCCTTCACTGTTTCTTTATCTTTGTCACAGTGTTTACATGTATAGTTTAAGCTGTACTTTTAATAATCTTTTTGAACATTCAAGTTAACTTACTTAGATATTGCATACACATTAAAGGTGACAGGACATAATGACAAAGTTGTAAACAATCTCAATTGGGAAAAAGGCATTTTCATTCAATATCTAAAATTGTTAATCACAAATATCAGTTGTAATAAAATGTACTTTTTATCCACTTTTTGTGTGTGCCGTGTTTGTTTTGTGCTTACTAGAGTATTGTTAGCTTAGCAATATGCTAAGGGCATACATTTTTATTTAGAATACCTAACAGTGTAGGCACTAATAGAGCCACATAAGTGAGTTCATAATGATAATAACAAAGTCTTTTTTTATTAAGTGTTTTAAGCTTTATTTTGAATTAGGGCCTGGTTTTAGCTGTCTATTAACCCCCAACCTATCCGTCTCCACCCTATATCCTCCACCTATTCAATGAGGATATGTTTCCTATCCACTAACAGGTTCTCTCTTGCAGCGAAGGTGAATAGTGTGACACTCGCAAATCCATTATACTGCTCTGGCTGCTGCATCTGTTTTTTGTTACACCCTTGAGTAGAGAAGCTACGGTGGACGGTGCAAGAAGGGGTTTAACTTATTTTACAATGATATTTCTTTTTTTCCTGATGATTTATTTTGTATCCACTTTAGAGTGAAATGCTAACACATATGAGACTATAAAGGAATAGTTCACCCAAAAATTAAAATGATCCCATAATTTACTCACCCTCAAGCCATCCTAGGTCTTTCAGCCAAACACAATCAGAGAGTTATTAAAAAAAATATTCTGTCTCTTCCATGCTTTGTAATGGGATTGAATAGACTCCAGTGGGTTAATAAATGCCTTCTGAGGTGAAGCAATGGGTTTCTGTTAGACAAATATCAATATTTAAAACTTTACATTTTCCTTACAAAAAACCATCGCTTTGCTTCAGAAGGCATTTATTAACCCACTCGAGTCATATGGATTACTGTTATGATAGATGCACTTTTTGGAGCTTAAAAAATCTGGCCACTATTCAGTGCCAAAAGGTGGGAAGAGCCAGGATATTATTTAATATAACTCTGATTGCGTTTGGTTGAAAGAAGAAAGGCATAAACACCTAGGATGACTTGAGGGTGAGTAAATAAGGGATTATTTTCATTTTTGGGTGAACTATTCATTTAAAGGACTGTATTGGATCTTTACAAAACAGCATTAAATTAACTAAATAATTTTATAGTACACTGCTATCCAGTTGCTGGGGTGTTCTGGGAGGTTGCTAGGGTGTTGCTCTGGTGTTCTAATTGTTTTTAGAACTTTGCTATGCAGTTGCTAGGGTGTTACTAAGGTGTTCTGACTGATTATTAGTGCAGTGCTATGCAGTTGCTAGCACAACCTGAGAATTAGGGGGTTGCCAGTATGTTGCTATGCGTTTGATAAAGGTGTTCTGAGTGGTTTAAGAATGTTGCTAAAATGATTGTTTGAGTGTTTTGATTGAAACCCACCATCAGATATGGATATTTTTTTATTTTTCTGCCAGTTGAAGTTCTGATTGTTTATAGCACACCTCCTCAAAAAGATTTGCAATATATCATATGTATCATTCATAACGATAGCATACAATGGTATGGAACGAGTTACAGGTTAAAGTTTAATACGTAGGATTACATAATACTTAGTGGTTTGTTCAAATCCCTGACCCTATGAGCAATAGTAATAGTGATGCTTGCGTTAGCAAACACAATTATTAAACTTTGGCTGACAGAGGGATCCACAGCTGTACGGAGAAACCACTAATAAAACAGGTCCATTAATCATGTGCTTGAGTTTAATCCCAGTTTCCGAGATTTATGGAGCTTTAATTGAATTTAGTTGCAGATCATGGGAAATCCGTTTAAGAAACAAGCGTAATACTTTATGGAAAGTAACTTTGTATGGGGAAACATTTGGAAGAAAGTCTGTGTGTATTACTTGCTGAATGACTGGGTGGCTGTCCGTCTCAGTGTTTGTCAAAGAAATGTGGCCTGACCCATTTTTATTGCCCTTGTGACGAAGGATATTTTCATTATCGCAGCTGCCCAATTCATATTTAACACAACCTGTTTTATACTAAACATACTCCTCCTCTTAGTTTGAGCAACTCACTCAGCATTGCTTTAAAAAGGTAATTTTTTACCTTAGTGGTGACCGTGTTTGGCTTGTAGGTTTGTGTACCTCGAGTTTATAACTCGTGTCTCAATGGGTCTTTTCAAAGGGGAACTTGTACGCCGGGAGCCATGACTTAAGCACGGTTGGAAGAGATAGAACAGTGATCTCAAAATGAAAGAGTGGTTTTATGCTCTGAGGTTATGTTTGCATATCACATCATGTGTCCTACATCTCTAATGGATTTCATTGCTAGTAGATTTGCATACATGCAAACTTTTTTAGCAAGCTGAGCTTCATGCTTGTAGCTCACCTGAATTATGCTTTGTTCAAATATCATAAATGATTAATATTTTGAGTTACAGTTTATGGTTGGTGGTACGCCAAACGTCATCATTACTGTTGCTCATGGTGTTTTATACAAAACCTTAAACCATATTTAACTCAGTACCTAACTTGTCCTGCAACCGTATGGACATGAATCCTTCTGCAGCTTTTTTGCCTGGTTAACAAAAAAATAGGAAATTTATATCGAAGCTTGTCTTCACCACGAAAAAAAAGAAGATAATTGTGACTTTTTATCTCGCAAATCTGACTTTTTTTCTCCGAATTGTGATAGAATTGAAGTACTGAACAATTGCTAGTTTATGAGGAAAAAAAGACTGACTTGTTTCTCACAATTGCACATTTTATATTATTCTGAGAAACAAAAGTCGGAATTGTGAGATAAAAACTCACAATTACCTAATTAACTCAGATCATTTAGTCTTGGAAGAATGTGGTGAGAAATGTTTCAGTTCATATTAAGATCTAAGCACAGTTTGAGACAATCGCATGTGTTTTTTCTTTTCTTTTTTTCCTATGGCCATCATTACTCCCAAGTCACTGTGTCTCACATAAAGAAGAAATTATTTAGCAACATTTTTTTGTCTGAGATAAAGTGGTCGTTTATGAAGCAGTTGGCGCCCGGCTCTCGAGACTGAACCTATAAACTTAACAACCTTGTTTAAACATCAGAGCCCCTTTGCCCTTGTGAAGATAAGGACAAACATGAAAAGTTGGTAGAAAGGCGCATACAAGACTACTTTAACACTTTAAAGTGCCAATAAAAAGTTTAGATGCAACACACCACCAACAACTGTTCATCAGTGAGTGAGTCAAATTATGTCTGGCCCAAATGAATGTATAAAAAGACACGCATTTAGTTAGGAAATGGGATCAAAAAAACGGTCGCTGCTGCTTAGAAACAGATGGAGACTGTGCTAATCATTGCCGAGACGTGCACACACTCCAGTGCGGCGTGAGTCAACAGCAATCAGCTCCTGGGTTCAAACACCATCATGCTAAACCACTGCTGACCGTCCCATTTGATGACTTCACACATGGCCTGAAATGGGGGAGGGAGAGATAGCGCAGAAGTGTGCGTGCATGCAAAAGAGATCGCTACTGCTTTCAGATTCAGAACATCCGAAGAGCCCTGAAGCTGCAGTCCCGGTGCAACGACGGTGGCGGCCTGGTTAATGATTTGCCAAAGCTAAAGCGCTCTGTTCCTGCTTAAGGGTTTATGTTAAATGCTGTTGTTAGTCCTGCTCTTGTGGACACACCATTTTGTACTGCTGGCTGGTTGTTGGGAGCGAGTGAATGGGTACGGATGGGAGGTGGTATTTACAGTCAGTCATTAATTATATTATGTGTCAGTCAGGGAGTTGTGAGGTTCTGCAATCGGATCACATCTCATAGGTCAACCCATTGTAATGATCCCTTTAAACAGACCTTAATACTCACTCACTCACAGGACTTATATCAGTTGTGTGTGGTGGTCTTTTAAAATGAGAAGGCAAAGTCCTCACATGTTTTATAGATATTATATGTAGCTATATAAAATATAAATGTATGTCCTTATTCATGGGCGTCAGTTTGGTTTGAAATGTGCTGGGGACAGAGACGCATTCGGAAGGGTATTTTCAAAAGTGCTGGGTACAATGACGCATTCATTCTTTTTTCTCTTTCGGCACAGGTCATGTTTTGAAAGATGACCTGTAGCTTACTGATGTAAATAAATAAAAATGTATACAAAGATGTGATTATGTCCGACCAAAAATGTGATGGTACTTTGGGTTTAATTGGTCGTAATGTAATGGTCCAGTGGCAGAACTTTTGCCAAGCGTGTCGGAGGTTCTGGGTTCTAATCCGCACTCTTATAGTTTTTTTTCCCTCATCAAAACCGATAATGTTTATCAGTGGTTATATCTCAAGAATCTTGATATACTTTATCACTGATAAACATTATCGGTTTTGATGAGGGAAAAAAAAAAACTATACGAGTGCGGATTAGAACCCAGAGAAGCAGGGACACGTTTGTGTGCATTTTGATTTGTGATTTCACCGGAACGAATAGAATCTCCGCAACGGATTGAAGCGCGCGTCCGAGTGAAGACACACATTTCAGCGCTAGATCGCCTCTTATTTAACAAATGAATGAAACGAATGCTGCTAGTTAACTGGATATGTTTTATTTGTATATGTAGGCCTACATCCGTGCCGCGAGATGTTTCAAAAGTGGTGGGGACAATATCGACCCTGACGCCTATGTCCTTATTACACTTAAAGGTGCCCTAGAATGTTTTTTATTATTATTTTATAATGTTTCCTGGGTTACCC